GACAAGGTTTACTATCTGCACTTACAGATGGCAGGACTGAGGTTCACAGCAGTCAAGTTAATTGCTCAAGGTCACCCGGGAAGTCAGAAGTAGAATCAGAATTCAAACGCAGATCTCCTGACTTGCAGTTCAGCTGCCCTTTTTTTTTACTCTATTTCTCTGAGTCATAATTGTGGATACTTGTTTGCTCAGTGATTCTGCTTTCTAGATCCTCTTGGCCCAAGACATGCTCATCTTCACAGTCTATCCTGAACTGTTGGCCTCATCCTTTTCCATCTTGGCTTCCCAAGCTGCTCATCACCTGCCTAGCAGAGGAAGGCCAAGGGGAGAAGGTAGAGTCCAGCACAGCCATGGAAACCAGCAATCCTGCCTTGTAAAATGTAAACATCTCCCCAGTCAGAAAAGATAGCAGCGTTCTGCTCCGCATGTCCTCTGTGAGCTTACCAATGCCCTGCCAGACCAGTTCCCTTCTGCCTTTCGTGCACAGGGCCTGGCACATGTGGGCACTCAGTAACTGTTTATTGAAGGAATCCATGAAGACGCTTTGTCCAGAGAAATTGTTTTAAAATCCTTTTTATCATAAAAGAAAACAAATATAGCAAACCGCATAAAACAAATGTATGGCTTAATGAATTATTATTAGGTGAGCCCCCTTAAAACCACCCACCAGTTGAAAAATAAAAGAATAACTTTGCCACCCACTGCCAAAGCCCATTCATGTGCTCCATCTTGATCACAATGTCCTCCTTCTCCCCATAAGTAACTACTGTCCTGACATGTATAGAAATCTTGGCGTTTTTAATGTTTGTGTCAGTCAAATGAGCAGCCCCTTGGCACTATAATTTAGTCTAGCAGATTTAAAAAAATTTTTTTTTTAAAGATTTTATTTATTTATTTTTCCCCCCTAAAGCCCCAGTAGATAGTTGTATGTCATAGCTGCACATCCTTCTAGTTGCTGTATGTGGGACACGGCCTCAGCATGGCCAGAGAAGTGGTGCGTTGGTGCGCGCCCGGGATCCGAACCCGGGCTGCCAGCAGCGGAGCGCGAGCACTTAACAGCTAAGCCACGGGGCCGGCCCTAAAAAATTTTGATAAACCTTTTAAGTCTCATTTAATCCATAGATCCCGTCTCTGTCCTTTCTTTTTGTTATTTATCTGTTGAAGCATGGGCCTTTGATCTGCAGAATTTTGCACAATCTGGCTTTTGCTGATTGCACCCTCCTGCCAGGCTATCAAAGGCACAGAATGTCTGCTTGCTTCTCTTCCTTAGTTAGCAACTGTTGGTGCTTAATACCTCCACAGTCCCTGGTAATTCACTGGGGACAGCGAAATGGTGAGACTCTAATTGCAATGTTTGTTTTGTCCTGGATGATGCTTGATTCTTTCCCCTTGCTTACCAGTGTGCAAGATAATGAAGTGGTTCCCTCATATCCTTTGAGGGTGACAAATTCTTTTTTTTTTTTTTAGTATCATGATGAACTCACGGATTTAAACATATTTGGTGGATTTCAGGCCACTGTAATTATTGTATTTATTAAAGCTCAAATTGTTCCATCTTTAGCCAGTGGGAGCTTCTTCAGGTTGGCTCCTGAGTCCTTTTGACATGACCCTAGTCATCTTTGATAACTTCCTTGTGGCAATGTTTCATTGTAAAGAGCTTCACTTTGGTGCTGGCTGACTGCTTTTGGGGGTCTTGGTCACATGTCTCCCATTTTCAGAAGCCCATGAGCCTGGTGGGACAGGACTTACATGGCCTCCGGTTCCACCTACTTAGCAAAGAACTCCAAGAATACATCATTTCTGCTTTTGCATAATCACAACTCTTAGGTAGAGATTTAAAACTCTGAGGGAGGGCATGCTAGTGAGTTTGCATGATTTAGCATGAAGATTATGCTACATCCTATTCAAGTTACTGGGTGACTATTCTTTTTTCCTTTCTGCTCTCATGCCTGCCTTCCAGCTCTGCTGATCTACCTACACTTACCCAAAGCTTTGTGCCTCTTCCATCTTGATGCCTTTGCACCTGATGCTTCCTCAGTCCTTCTTCAGTCTCACCTTAGCCATTGCTTCCTCCTGGAAGCTTCGTTACACCCACCTATCTGAAAGAGATGTCTCTCTTGTATGTTCCCATAGCATTTTGCCTTTCCCTTATCATAGCACTTGTCTCACTGACTGCAGTTGTCAATTTATCCATCTGCCTACTTCCCTGCTGCCTGCAAGACCATGAGTGGAAGGACCTGTGGCTTGTTCACCTCCGTTTCCCCGGTGTCTGCATGGTGTCCAGCATATTAATAGGCTGTCAACAGATCGTTGTTGAATGAATGAGTAAAACCCAGACTTGTCCTCATCATCCTCCTCCTTGCACTCCCACCACTCCTGGTTGACTCCTCTACTAGCGCACTCATTGCCTGGGGTTGAAACCTCCCCCCTCCCCATCCCAGCTGGATAGCAAGCTCTCTTAGGGATCAGCTCTAACCCCCTTCTCTATCTCCATCATCTGACAGGATGCATGGTGACTCGGAGTTACTTCTTTCCTCAATGCTGTTATTGAAGGATAAGAAATCTGTTTCCATAAAAATAAGAGCAGTTAACTTGAAACTTGTTTCTGCACTCAGTTTGACTTCCTCTTTTAGAATCATTTTTGGGAAGTACAACAAAGTTCCTCTTCACATTTCCCTACCAAAGTGGCCTTTGGAAAGTTTGGGGTCCCCCAGGCTCCCCATGAAAGTTTTCCTTAACAGGCCCACATGGCATTCTCTCATCCCTTGGGCCCCTGCCCTGGGCCCACTCTGGCTCAGGGAATGCCGGCACTAGGCCTTATGTCCCATCTGCCTCAGACGCTGCCAGAAGCCCGAGTTTCCTGCCTCCCGCACCCCAAACCCCGTAGTGGCACTTGAGCTCCTTCTCTCATGTTCAGTGGCTCCACCCCATTCCATACCATGTTTTTGCAACAGGAATTTATTGAATCATTAATTCTCCTCTCCCTCCTGGATTACTCCCATGAGCATACAAACATGCTGTTACTTCTCCTCAAAAGGCTTTTTATTCTGAGGCATAATTGCAGGTCATTTGTGACAGTTGGCCTCTCCCTCTTCAGCGCTTTATCAGATTCTCTGCTGCCTCAGATCTCATGTTCCCCGGGCAGGGCGGTAGCTAAGAACACTCCAAACGGTGGCTTTTCCTTTTCCCTTGGCCTCTTGGTTAAAGATGGTGGGCTTATAAATGTGTCAGGCATAAATGAAGCTAGAGATACAAAAGACTTCCTGTCCCAGTGGTCACCATGCCTCCTGGCAGAACCCCACACTTCCTGCTGTCACACATGCCACTGCATAGGAGAGCAAACCACAGAGCTATAAATCTCTCGACTTGCATTTTCCAACTGCAGCATCGAGCATCTCTAATGGAAGAAAGCCCTGCTGTCAGCCTGTCAGCCTGGTACCCTGGTCTGTAGTCAGTTCTCTACAGCAGAAAGCAGGATATGCCATCCATGCAGGCTGGCCAGGTGGCATGCACTGAGCAAAGGGCACCTAAATGTAAGAAGATAGGGAACTTGAGGCGGGTCCTCACTCACTTCTCCCTGGCTCCAGGAGAAGACAGGGAAGTTTACAGATACTGAGGAGTGGTGGGGCTGGGAAGACCTCTTTCCCCAGATACTGAGGAGTGGTCAACTGAGAAGACCTCTTTCCCCAGACCTCATACCCAAGGGGATAGCTCATCCCTTTATCTGTTGGGATTTACACCTCTTGTTGGTACTGTCTGCAGCAGACATTTTAGGTCAAGGATGAGTGGGGAGCCAAGAAACCCTAAGTCCCCCTCAGTAGCTCCAGTGGCATGCCCAGCAGCCTGCCATATCTTGGTTCTGGTTTCTTTGGAGCATCATTCTCTTTTCTTTTCTGAGCAGGGACTAAGCTTTGCCTGATCATCTTACCTCAAGACTTGGCTCTTTCCAAGATTCCTATTGTGCTAAGGAAAGTTCCTTTCAATTGTTATAGTGTTTCTCAACAGGGCATTGATAGCTTTAGGCCAGACAATTCCTGCCCCTGCTAGCCTTTATGACAAGCAAAAGACACCTATTTTCAGATTCCCCCTAGGGCATCTCAGTCCCTGGTTGAGAAGCACTGTGACTTAGGGGTGAATGCCCCAGTGTCTTCCATCTTAAAAAAAAAAAAAATCCTGGGCCCGGCCCTGTGGCATAGCAGTTAAGTGTGCGCGCTCCGCTGCTGGTGGCCCGGGTTCGGATTCGGGCGCGCACCGATGCACCGCTTGTGAGGCCATGCTGTGGTGGTGTCCCATATAAAGTGGAGGAAGATGGGCACAGATGTTAGCCCAGGCCTGGTCTTCCTCAGCAAAAAGAGGAGGATTGGCATGGATGTTAGCTCAGGGCTGATCTTCCTCACACACAAAAATCCCTTGACCCCAAAATTCCCTTGGGGAATTTTATAGAAAGATAGTCATATCAACTTCAGATAATGATAATCCTCTCTCCTCTCCAATGTATATGATTTTTCTTTTCTTCTTGAGCAGTTCTCTAGAAGTTAAATAACAGTGTTAGATGATACTGACAATGGCGGGCACCATGATTTCCATCTGATTTAAATGTATGATATTGGCTTTTGGATTGAGATAGATAGTGGTAAGAAAGCTTCCTTCTCAATCTTCATTACTAAGATTTTTTTTAAAGCCTGAGTATAAATTAATTTGTATTACATGCCTTTGCTGCACCAATAATGATGATTGTATAATTCTGGTCCTTTGGCCTCTGGGTGTGAATCTCATTACTACATTCCCCAATAATGATCCAGCCTTCAAATCCTTAAATAAAGCAGACTTGAAGATGGTGCACTAGTCCTTTAATACAAAGCTGGGGGGACTTTGTGTTTCACTGTTAGATTGGCTGATTTACTTCTTTTCTGCTATCTGTCATGAAATAGGTTCTTGGCAGAGTCTTAGAAGCAAGAGCAATTGGTCCAGTAACCCCTTGTTGAATTGCCTCTCTGCAGGCCTGGCGCAAGCGCTGGTTTGTCCTGCGGCGCGGCCGCATGAGCGGCAACCCCGATGTCTTGGAGTACTACAGGAACAAGCGCTCAAGCAAGCCCATCCGTGTGATAGACCTCAGCGAGTGTGCAGTGTGCAAGCATGCGGGTCCTGGCTTTGTTCGCAAGGAGTTTCAGAATAATTTTGTGTTCATTGTCAAGACTACTTCTCGTACATTCTATCTGGTGGCCAAGACTGAGGAGGAAATGCAGGTGTGGGTGCACAGCATCAGTCAGGTCTGCAACTTCAGCCACCTGGAGGACGGTGCAGGTGAGAACAGAGTCAGGGTTGCTGTATGCTAAGGGGTGGCCTGGGACACTGCGCAGGCACTGGAGCGCTACTGCAGGAAAACCATTCAAGGTGACAAACCCACTTCCTTGAGGGTGTTTCAGCAGGCTAATTTACATCAGAACTGTTCCCACCAAGTCCAGTACCAGAAATCGCTCCCTTTCACCTGGTTCAAGGCTTCAGGTCCAAATGTGCTGCACATGGAGCATTACAGGTGACTTCAATAACTTAGAAGCTGCTTCGTGTCTTTGCTCTCATCAGCCACAGAGAACTCGTGCTGCTGCTGATTTTCTAGAAATATTAAATATCACCATTATTCTAAAATTTGTGAAACTGCAGCTTTTCTGTTGCCTATTGGGTTGTTCAGCACTAGATGATAGAAAGACAGAACTTTGCTACTTATCATAGGCATGGAAGAATTCCTCATAGCTCCAATTGGCTCAAGGTCTCTGCAAGGGAAAGTACCCTAAGTTTGCTCAGGGCCATTTCTGGGCAGTGGGAGCAAATGACCCATGAGGCTCTTTCTCCCTCTTCCTTCCTCTCTCCCTCTCACTCTCACTCCTGCTCTCTCTCTCTCTCTCTCTCTCTCTCTCTCTCTCTCACACACACACACACACACACACACACACATTGTCCTCTCTATGTAATATACCGAGGTTAATGCACCTAGGGTGACAATTCACTCCCTTCATAGATTTTCTTGTTGAGCCCCTGGCATCATTGCACCATGCCCTGATGCTCAAACTATGGGACTTTGAATCTGATTTCTTTTAGTAGACAAAAGCTTACCCCTAAATCCTGTGGCCTACAGTTGCTTTAACATTTCCATCGTTACTGTCTGCTTCTTCTCTGCCACTGAAATATCCACATTATAACGCTAGGTGGTGGTGGAGAGTCAGAGCTGCATCTCTCTCCAGGACAGGCATGGGAGAGTGTACTTCCTGAGGACAAAGTACTTTTCTTCTCATGCACTGGGGAAGCTTATTAAGTGAAGCTACTCAGTTGCATTGCTGAGCTTTGAGAGCACTCAAGTAAAAGGAAATGAAATGATGGCAAATTCTTTATCGTTGCTACAAAGGATGAAGCTTACTTGCCAAGTTGCAGTGAATCTGTCCTGGCCAGAGTCCAAAGCTATGCCAACAAGCAGCCCCCCTGACCAACTCCTCCAGTCTTGCCGCTCACTCTTCGCCCCCCTGGTTCCTACCTTCAGCCCAAACTAGATACATATTCCTGTGTCATGTTATGTGTCTCCTGTTTCTTTCTTCATCCAGGAGTTACCCTAAAACATAAATACATAACATGTTTCCCAATATCTGAAAAGGAACAGAAATGAGTAAGGCACCAGGCAGAAAACAGAAAGCTCTGGCATGAAGTTGGAGGAAGCCAGAAACCCCCCATGACCTCTTTTGTTCCCTGTAGGCCCCCTTAGTTTTTAGGAAGAGCAGAGTAAGGGCAGAGTTCTCTTCATCTGAGAACCACGCCCAAAGTGCTTTTTTTGTGGCTTTTCACATATAGTGTTTGGTTCTGTCTCCAGCAACCATAGATAGTCAACACATTGTGCATGCGTACTCTGGCCAGGAGTTCTGTTAAATGCTTTTGCATATTAGCTCGCCTTATCCGCAGACCGATTCTGTAGCATTCGTACTTTTAGCATCTCCACTTTACAGAGAAGGGAACTTGCAGCAGGCATTTAACTTGCCCAAGGTCACAACAGCTAGATGGTACAGCCTGGACTTGAACCCAGGCAGTTCTAGGCCACTCTGACTCGGGAATCCTGAACTCCTCCCAACTTGGTGCAAAGGGGAAATAAAAGCAGGCTTTTCATTAGGAGTTTCTGAATGTTGTGTTCCTGGAGAAATGTGGGCTTTACCAGCCATCACAACACCCTATTTCTTTCCTTCCTTTTCCTTATATGTCATTAACAGTCAATCATTAACAGTATTCTTTATCTATATGTTGCTTGTCTGTCTCCTCTGGTGGACTGTAAACTCCAGCAAGGGCGGAGTCTTTGTCTCAGCTGTATCGGCAGAGTTAGAACAGTCCCAGGCACATAGTAGCTACAATAGTAGGTATTCTATATAGACATAAATAGACATATATATCTCTATATGCACACATACATATATGCACAAATGCATAGGTAAGTATAGACATATGTATTTGTTATGCATAAATATATGTGTGTATATATGTATATTTGTTGAGTGAATAAACAGTGTTGCAGGGCTGTGGCTAAGGGCCATAAAGAACCTGTGTGTAGACTTTCTAACTGCAGATATTTAGGCCAAGAATGCTTGTTATTTTTGTTTTTGTTTTTGTTGTTTTTTTACTCTTAATTGATTCAACACTTCACTCTTGGAACATTGGCCTTCTTTCCCAGACATTGTTTATAGCTTGGGGAAATTGTCTCCTCCATCAGCACAAACACCAGCTGTGATTTGCATCTTCTGTTTGGCTTCTTAGATGCTGTTTTGAGAAATTGTGAGTGAGTGTTATAGCCATTCTTAAACGTTAACCTAGGAAATGATTCCTCCAGCAGATTCCGTGGAGAGCCTCTCTTGCATGCCCTCCTCCCTCCAGCCGTCTCCTGCCAGCTCGCTTCACACGGCCTATGCTGTCAGCTCCTCTTTGCCAAAAGATGACCCAAGCACTAGTACTGTAGCCACTGAGGAAACCAGAAGTGAGTCAGAGTTTCTCTTCCTTCCTGATTATCTGATTTTGTCCAACTGTGAGACTGGAAGACTGCACCATGCCAGGTATGCTTCTGCACATGACTCTTTCTGAGCTGGGCCTCCTAGCACACTCCCCTCTGTTTGCAGAACCCACAGTGCCTCCTCTCACGGGGTCTGTCATTGAGATATGCTCGGCGTGCTTTACCAAATCAGTCCATTTAGCTGTAGCATCTTCTAGTGGGTGTATCTGCCCTCACTTCTCTTCCTGCTGCTGCCAAGGTGGGGACAGATCGCTATTAACCACTGTGAAGGATGAAGCACGCAGTATACTAAACAAAATGAGTCATATATTTCAGCATTGTGGCTTTCATTTCTAACCTTGCATTTTTGTATGCATCTGACACTTACAGGATGAAAAAAGTCAACAAACCATTTTATCCTGCATCAAGGGGTTGGTGTAACCAAGGGTTGTAGAGAGAATGTGGCTATATAAGTAAAATAAAAGGTGCTATTAGAGGGGTGGGAATGAGGCCAACTCATTGTGGGTGGTGAGTGGATGGCTTTCTTCTTCAGACTTCTGCCGAGGGTGTAGTAGTAGTGTTGCTGTGGTACCAACTACAGCTGCCAGGGAGTTGCTACATTTCAGTCAAATTTACAGGCTTTTCTTTCCTCAGTCTACCCACCAGGTGTGATAGCTGGTCAAACTCAGACCGTTCATTGGAACAGACTTCATTCGATGACGTTTTTGTCGACTGTCTACAGCCGCTGCCCTCTAGTAACTTGGTCCACCCCTCATGCCATGGGAATGGATCTCAGGAGGCGCCTTCCACAAGGCCTCACGCTGCCCTAATGTGGAGTAGAGATATAAATGGGCCATCCAGGGACCACTTTTCTTCACCATTGCTGGAAACTTCCTTAAATCCCACCATTCAGGTAGATAAAAACCAAAGTTCCTTGCCCTATGGAGTAAAAGAAGTAGACATTATGTCCAACACACCACCTCCCCGCCCCCCTAAGCCAAGCCATCTCTCTGAACGGCGCCAAGAGGAGCAGCTCCTGTGGAGTGGGCACAGCAGCATCAAGAAGCCAGACTGCACTATGGTACCAAGAAGAATCTCCCTCTCTGGTTTAGATCACATGAGAACCTGGAAAGGTAAGTTTTGGATGTTAACATTCAGGTCCAGAGACAAGCCTGGCTCCTCTTCCCTCCTTGTGTCCACACGAGGACGTGGCCCAGTGTCTCTTGCTCAAGCTGGTTCAGTCTCTCAGTGCTGCCGGGAGCCTTGTCTTATTCCTGATCTCAGATGGAAAGCTTCCAACATTTCACTCTTATAATGTGGTTTGCAGTAGATTTTTGTAGGTACCATTCATTAGATTAAGGGCATTTTCTGATATTTATACTCTGCTAAGTGTTATTTTTTTAATCCTGAATGGATATTGAATTTATTGAAACATTTTATGATCATATGATTTTTCTCCTTCATCCTGTTAATGTGAAGAAGTTCCCATTGGTTGATTTTTGAATGCTAAACAAACCTTACATTTCTGAAGTAAACTCAACTTCATCATGAGGGGTATCCTTTGTATAAATTACTAAATTTGTTTTCAACTTGTTTTTTGACTTATGTTTCTGAGAGAGATTGTCCTGTAATTTTCTTTTCTTATGATATCTGTATCAGGTTTTGGTAAAAGGGGAATATGCTGACATCAAAAAACAGACTAGAAAGTTTTTCTTCTTTTTTATTATTTGGAAAAGTTTGTGTATGATTGGTATTATTTTTACCTTATTGGTAGAATTTACTAGAAAGGCCATCTGGGCATGGACTTTGCTTTGTGTAAAGATTTTTAAATTAAGGATTCAATTTCTTTAGTCTTTAGTAGACTATTCAGATTTTCTATTTTTTGGTGTGTTCCTTTTTATAAGTTATATTTTTCTAGGAATTTGTTCATTTCACCTAGTTTTTCAAATTTATTGCATGAAATGGATTATAATAACATCTTGTTATCTGTAGGATTTGTAATAATATCCTCCTTTTCATTCCTGATATTGATAATGTGGGCCTTCTCTCTGTTTTTCTTAATCAATCACGCTGGGGGTTTTATCAATTTTATTAGTTTTTTTTCCCGGAGAACAAATTTTGCCTTTGTTGATGTTTTCCGTTATGTATTTGTTTTCTGTTTCATTAATTTTTGCTCATATTTTTATTATTTCCTTCCTTCTACTTCAGGGGTCAGTCAGCAAACCGTGGCCTGTGGGCCAAATTTGACCAACAACCTGTTTTTTTATAGCCCACAGGCCACCAACTAAGAATGGTTTTTACACTTTTAAAGGGTTGTAAAAAAGAAAAAAAAACTATCTGGCCCTTGCCAAAAAAAGTTTCCTGACCCCTGTTGCACTCCCTTGGAGATGATTTGCATATTTTTCTAAATTCTCTTAATGAATGGGTGTCTCATTGAATTTCTTCCTTTCTTTTTTATCTAACATGTGTGTTTAAGGATACAATTTTTCTGTAAACACTCTTAGCCATATCCCATAAGTTTTGACATGTCATATTTTCATTATCACTAAGTTCAAAATATTTTCTAATTTTCATTGTGGTTTCTTCATTGACTCAGGCATTATTTAAAACTGCATTTCTTAATTTCCAAACCTGAGAATTTTCTAGTTTATTGCATTTTGGTTAGAGAACACACTCTGTATGAGTTCAATCCTTGGAAATTTGATCCATTATGGCCCAACACATAGGCTATTTCTGTGAATGTTTTTAATATACTCTCAAATTGTCCAGTGACATATTCTGTATATGTCACTCAGGTCAAGTTCCCTGATTGTGTTGTTCATCCCTTCTCTATCCATACTGATTTTCTGTCTCCTTGTCGTAGCAGTTACTGAGAGAGGTATCTTCAAATCTCCCACTATGATTGCAGAGTGTCTCTTTTTCCTTTATAATTCTGTCAAATTTGTCTGTATATAACTTGATGCTATTAGTTACATACCTCTTAGAATTCTTATATTGTTTTAGTGAATTGAAACCTTTATCAATTTTTCATGACTCTGTCTAGTAATGTTTTTATCTTCAAGTATATTTTATATGGTATTAATATAGCTATGCCTATGTTAAATACTAAACACTACTAATAAAGACTAACCAGCATTATTTTGGTTAACAATGGCATGGTATATATTTTCCCATCTTTTGACTTTCACCTTTTCCATACCTATATTTTAGATCTGTTTCTTAAAAAAAGCATATGGCTATTTTTTCTTATTGTAATTTTGATTTTTCACTCTATTCTGACAGTCTTCTTCTTTTAACTGTAAGCCATTTACGTTAATTAGATTCATTTTTACCATTTTATTTTGTGGTTTCTATTTGTCCTGTTTGTACAAAATTTCTTATTTATAATCTCATCTCTTGCTTTCTTTCTTCTGAATTGAGTTTGCTTCCTCATTTCAGTTTTAACCTCTACTAATTTGGAAGTTATACATTCTAGTTTTATTCTTCTTTTTGTGTGTGTGAGGAAGATTGGCCCTGAGCTAACATCTGCCAATCCTCCTCTTTTTGCTGAGGAAGATTGGCCCTGGGCTAACATCCGTGCCCATCTTCCTCCACTTTATATGGGACGCTGCCACAGCATGGCTTGACAAGCAGTGCATTGGTGTGCACCCGGGATCCGAACCGGCAAATCCTGGGCCGCCGCAGTGGAGCGTGATCACTTAACCACTTGCGCCACCGGGCCGGCCCCTAGTTCTATTCTTTTAATGGTTACCTTCTACATTTTACCATGCACATTCAACTTAATATCTTAAATTAATCAATATCTTTACCCTTCTCCCAAAATAATACAAGAGCCTTAGAATGCTTTAGATCTAATTACCTCTCCCAACTTAGTATGCTAATACCATATGGTATTTTATTTCTTTCTTGATTTTTTAAAATCCCATCAGGTGAACATTATTGGTATTATTTTATACAGCCAATGTTTTTTAGCTTCACTTACATTAACTATTTTCCTAGTTTATCATTGCTTCTGGCATTTCATAACTTCCTTCTGGGATTATTTTAATTCTTTTTGTGGCTTATTCTTTAAAATTTCCTTTAACAAGGGTCTGTTGTTGGTAAATTCTCTCAGATTCCATTTGTCTAAAAATAACTTTTTAGGGTCCGGCCCCATGGCTTAGCGGTTGGGTGTGTGCGCTTCGCTGCTGGCGGCCCGGGTTCGGATCCTGGGTGCGCACAGACACACCGCTTCTCTGGCCATGCTGAGGCCGCGTCCCACATACAGCGACTAGAAGGATGTGCAGCTATGACATACAAATATCTGCTGGGGCTTTGGGGGAAAATAAATAAATAAATAAAATTATAAAAAAAATTTAAAAAATAACTTTTTAAAACCTCATGGTATGGAATCCTAGTTTCACAGTTATTTTTGCTCACCCTTTGAAGATATCATTCTACTGCCATCTTGTTTTAATAATTGCTATTGAGAAGTCAGTTATCAGTGCCACTGCCACTCTTTTTAAGATAGTATCTTTTTAAGAAATTCTTTTTCTCTTCTTTTTAAGAATCTTCTTATCTTTGTTATTCATTAATTTCTCTGCAATGTGTTTGTGTGTAAATTTCTTTTTATTTATCGTGGGATTCACTGGGCTTCCCAAATTTGAAGACCAGTGTCTTTCAACATTTCTGGAAAAATCTAAGCTATTATGTCTTCAAATGTTGCCTGTTCTCCATTGTCCCTATTTTTCCTCTGAAACCCCAATTATATGTATTTTAGACTTCCCACTTTATCTTGCATGTTTCTTAAATTGTCTTTTACATTTTCATCTCTTTGTCCTGAATTCTAGTAATTTCTTTCAGTTTTTGAACTCTTTCTTCAACTGTGCCTAATGTATTGTATAACTCATATTTTGAGTTTAAATTTCATTTATTTAATTTTTAAAGGAATATATATTTATATTTCAAAATCATAATTATAAAAAGTACACAGAGCTCACTTTAGCAGTGTATATACTAAGATTGGAATGATACAGAGTAGATTAGCATGGCTCCTGTGCAGGGATGACATGCAGATTCATGAAGCGTTCCATATTTTGCTTTCCTTTTCTATTGTTTAAGGGTGGGGAAACTGAAGCTCTGATAAGCAAAGTGACTTACCCAATTGAGGGCCCTTCTGGCTTCAAACCTTACCCCCAATTCCTCCTACTCCTCCAAAAAAAAAAAAGATATACAATGAAAAGTCTGTTTCGTACCTCTGTCTCCTGTTTGCTCTTTTCCCACCACCCATATCCTTCCAGAGAATTTTCTGGATATTCAAGAAAATATGGATATATAGTCTGCCTTTTAATGCAAATAGTAGCATTCTTACACTCTATTCCATCCATTGTTTTTCATCTTAAGAATATATCTTGATTTTTTTTACGTTAGTACAAATACTATGTACATATGTCATTTTTACATGAATAAGCATTTCTGTAGCCAAAATTACCCTTCACAGGAGTTGGACCAATTTATACCATCTACCAAAATTACAAAATTATTCAAACATTGCTGCTGTCCCTGTACTGTCCTTAATGGCAACAGTACGCTAAATTCTTGGAAGTGAAATTGCTGGATCAAAAGCTATAGGCAGAATCAGAGGGTTCTCTATGTATATTAGATAATAGTGTTATATCAATGTCAAATTTGCTGAGTTTGATAAAAGCACTGTGGTTACACAAAAGAATGTCCTTATTCTTAGGAGATACATGCTGAAATATTTTGGAGTGGAGGGTTCTGATTACTGCAACTTACTCTCAAATAGTTTGGAAAAATATGTTTAGACACATATTATACACAGAGAAAAAGTTTATTTATAGAATCTTTTATATTAACTCACATTTGCTATTTCTAGTGCTCTTTATTTCTTCCCATGGTTTTGAGTTACAATCTGCTGTCATTACCTTGCTCCAATATAGCTCCATTCTGTACTCCTTTGTGCTATTATTATCAAATGTATTGCATCTTTATATTTTATAAGCCAAAAAATACAGTTTTATATACCATCTTGTATAATTATTTACAATTATATATACAATATATATATATACAATTATAATTACAATACAATTATACAAAATGTATACCATCTTGTATAATTATTGTTTTATGC